TAGGTATGGGTTGAGAGGGTTCTGTGTGGGGCAATCTGTGTGTGGGCAACTCAGTGGGGGAACCAGGTCTGGGGGGGGGGGGGAGGGAGGGATCTGAATGCACAGGGGTTTGTTGGGGGCTTCTGGGTGCAACAATGATGGGACTCTGCAGGGGGGTCCAGGTGCAGCTGGTCAGGGCTCGGTAGGGTGTGGATCCAGGTACAGGTGGCTTGTCAGGGTGGTCCAGGTGCAGTGGAAGTGGGGCTCATCAGGGGGGGCTCTGGGTGTGTGTGGGGGGGGGGTTAGGCTTGGCAGGAGGGTCTGGATGCATGGGGGTTGGGCGGATAGAGGAGCAGCTCCTTATACAGTGATCCCTCCCCCTGCAGCTGAGGAGCAATGGGTGCAGGAAGCGGGGGGGAAGGAGGCGTTTGCAGAGCTTCCTACAGCTGGGAGAGAAATCAGGGGTAGGTCTGACACAGCCCCATGTGCCACGCAGGGGAAAAGGAAGTCCGATCCTCCTCAGCCCAGCCGGAACTAGCAACTGAGCCTGGTGCTGGGTAGGAGCCACCAGCTGGTTCTTCCCCAGTCCTGCCCGCTGCCCCACAGTGATTTACCTCTCTGTCGGCTGCCCTAGGCACCCAAAATAATACTGCTGGGGAGGGTTGCATGACCGCTCTTGTAGCTTGCCTTTGCTTCCCCATCAGAAAGTCATTTTTCTGCAGGGAAGCAAAGAAACCAGTGGGGGACAGATTCTGCGCATGCACAGTGGTGAAGAATTCCCCCAGGAGCATTACATGCAGAAAACCAGTTGTGGGGGCACAGGTGGGCATGGAGTTTTTATAGCATGTTGGCAGGGCCTCAGAAATAAAAAGGTTTAGAACCCCTACATTAGACCATGTTCACAGCATCTCTCAAAAAGAATGCGTCAAATCTGACCAGGACAAGACTGTCTGTAATATGGTAATATTCTGACACACCCATCTTTACTAGATGCCATTGGATCCACAGACGAACAAGCGCTACAGAAGGGCAAAACATCACTGAAAAATAAGTAGCAGGCTGGAGTTATAACTCCCAGACCCTTCCTCTAACCTCAGGATAGCCAATTATTTTTGTCAAGGTCCAAATTTCTTGGTCAAGGTATAGTCAAGGTCCAGACTCCAGAGAAAAATAATAAGTAAATGAAAAGATTTCAGGGTCCATTCAAAACATCTGGTGGTCCAGATTCGGCCTGTGGTCCACCTATTGAATACCTCATCTAGATCATGACCCACATCCAGAGTCCGAAACAGAACCCTGCATTCCCAATACATTATTGGGGCATGTCCTTATATAGAAAGAGGCAGTCCTTTTCTGATTGTGTAATGCAGACCATAATACACCTGTCTAAAAAAATAAATGCACAAGATGGAAACTCAGCCTGGGAAATTTCATAGAAAAATATATCCCTACACTAAAAGAATATTGAGGCTGCAAAGTGAAGCATTCAGCTGTTCAGAAATGTCAAAGTTAAGCTAGCATACATATTCTTAATTCTGATACCTTATTCACTAGCATTCTGATACCATGATCACAACTATTTTTTCCATAAGACCCCTGACTGATTCAGAGCACAGTTTCAGTGGTGAATGAGTTCTTGTTGGGAGTAAGTTGAAAGATGGATAGTGGCACAGACTGCAGAAAGGGAATGTAGTGTGTTCTGGTGAAAGCACTTGGGCAGGACCCAGTAGAACTAGTTTCTAATCCAGGCTTTGACACAGACTTTCTATGCCATGGTAAGGAAATTACTTAAACCAGACTTCGCAGAGGAGAACACTAATTTTATGTTCCTCAATTTCTAAGTATCCAATCTGAAACATCAAGAATCTGATGTTCATTCTCAACTCTGACTGAAGTCAATAGGAACCGCATGTGCTAAGCATTTCAGTATATCAGGCCATAGGTGCCTCGGGCATCAAGTTACTGAGATATCCAAAATCAGCAGACACTTCTGTAGGTGTTGACTTTAATCTCCCTGGGGGCTTGGCTACATTCGGGACTTCACAGTGCTGCCGCATCAGCGCTGTGAAGCGTGAGTGTAGTCGCGCCGCCAGCACTGCAAGAGAGCTCTCACAGCGCGGTATGTACTCCACCTCTCCGAGGGGACTAGCTTGCAGCGCTGCGAGCGAGTGTGCAGTGCTGCAGGCACTGATTACGCTAGCGCTTTACAGCACTGTACTCAGGGGGGTGTTTTTTCACACCCCTGAGCACAGCAAGTTGCAGCGCTGTACAGAGCTAGTGTAGCCAAAGCCTGAGTGTCATTTACTAATCTGTAAAGCCGGCATAATAATATCTCCCTGTCTCACTCAGGTGTTGAGATGGTAAATTCATTAGTGTGTGAAATGCTCACACAGGACAACAAGGAGAACCACAGAAGAGCACAAACATCCTCAGGCATTGAGGCACTTGGAAGTGGACAATGAACATGGCACCATCACTTACACTAGACCAGGGGTAGGCAACCTATGGCATGCGTGCCAAAGGCGGCACGCGAGCTGATTTGCAGTGGCACTCACACTGCCCAGGTCCTGGCCACCAGTCCGGGGGGCTCTGCATTTTAATTTAATTTTAAATGAGGCTTCTTAAACATTTTTAAAACCTTATTTACTTTACATTCAACAATAGTTTAGTTATATATTATAGACAGAGACCTTCTAAAAACATTAAAATGTATTACTGGCATGCAAAACCTTAAATCAGAGTGAATAAATAAAGACTCAGCACAGCACTTCTGAAAGGTTGCCGACCCCTGCACTAGAACATGACCCCCGATGCCAAAGCACAGCCCAGACCGGCACTGAATAGAGATCGGGCTGCTGCCGAAACCAGCAGGGGGTCGTGGCATAGGAGGGGGGAAGAGAGGTCGGTTTGGCGCTGCACCCCCCTAGTGTTATCGTTACTTACTTGTAGCCTGGGACGGCGCCATGTCCGGGACCCGGACGCTGCTATGCTAGGCGCTGTACACACACGCGGCCCAGTCCAAGGGGCTCGCAGGTCAGACCCTCTCCTAGCCCAGCCTGCCAGACCCAGGCTCCCCCTTCTCTGGCGGGTAGCCCAGCACAAGGCGGGCCCCGGGGAACGGGGCTCAGCACCCGACCGGTACAAGCAGCCATTGCGCCAGGATCAGCTCAAGCACCGGTCCATCGCGCGGACCGAAGATTCACCCCCAACCAACCAACCGCCTGCCCGCGCGCTCACCGCGCTGGAGATCCTGCTTGGTCTCGCGGATGTAATCATCCGGGTTCCGGCTCAGCACCTTCACCCTCATGCTGCCGCCGCCGCGCTCCGCTCCTCACGGCTGCACAGACCGGAACCAGCCCGGCACACTTCCGGCTCAAGTCAGCGGTCATTAGCTACACCAACGACCGGAAGAGCTAACGTGGGGCTCACGTGATACCCTCCCCAATCCCTACGTAGGACCTGGGGCAAAGGTCTTCGTGTCTCGCCCCTGCCCACGTGTGTGGCCCGGCTCCACCCACCAGCGAGGGAGCTTGGCCGGCGCCGCGGGCTCGCCCGCTCACGCCCTGTGTTTCTGTTGCGGGGCTGCCGGCGCGGTGGCCGAGTGCGGATGAGTGCGGCTCCGGGCGCGCGGGGGCCGGTGTGCGCGGTGGAGTCCCCGCCGGCCCCGCCCTTGCGGCCCCTGTTCAGACACGTGCGGTACGAGAACCTCGTGGCAGGTCTGAGCGGCGGTGTTGTGTCTACCCTGGTGCTGCATCCGCTGGACCTGGTGAAGATCCGCTTCGCAGGTGAGGCGGGCCCCCTGCTCCCTCCGTTCCCTGTAGAGGGGGCACCCTCCCTGGGCGGCCCCTACGCCTGCGGGAGCCACTCTCACTGGGGAAACTGAGGCACAATTTGTAGCGTAGCCTGGCTTCCGATCTGCTTCTTCCCACCTTCGCTTCAGAGAATAGATTGGCCATACTGCTGGAGTGTTTTAGCTAGCTGCGAAGGGGCATAGTGCGTGCCCGCTCTCCTTCATCGGCGCCTGCGGATGTCGGAAACCAGCCACATCTCAAGACAAGATTGCGGGGACGGGGGAGAGGGCTGCAATGACAGCAAAGCCTGGGATTGAGAATCTACTATAAGCACGATTCAGCACAATACTAAATGACACTAAACTTTAACTCAGGGATTCTGTGGGGGTCACTGCGTTATTAGATGGAGGGTCGCGAGCTGTCAGCCCCCACCCCAAACCTTGCTTTGCTTCTAGTATTTATAATGGTGTTAAATATATTAAAAAGTGTTTTTAATTTATAAAAGGGGTTGCAGTCAGAGGCTTGCTATGTGAAATGGTTCACGAGTACAAAAGTTTAAGAACCACTGCTATCTTGTTACACTGACTGGATCTAAGCACCCATCAAAATACACTTAACCTTAATACACCATTATAACAAGTATTCGGTTATCATGTTTGGATTTGATATCCAATATTAAATTCCATATGCGTTACATTGACTTTCCCGTGATACATAACTGGGCAGTTTTACTGTCTTTAGATCCAATCAATTAAATAGTCAAGGCAAAAGAGTATTTAATTTAGCCCCATTGTTATAGGCTGTGGTGCTGGTCAGCAAAGAATGAAGTTGGAATTGCAGATTTTCTGCAGAGAAGGGTGTCATCCTCTTCCAGATGAGCTACTGTTGATGTCGCTGATGAGTTGTTCTTTTGAAGCCTCTATTTTATCACATCAGTTTATGTATAGGTTAAATAACTGACTCATTTCTTTACATTTATTTTAAATGGATTTGTGGTAATTTAGCCTCCAAAATTAAATGTGAATTTTTGAAGAGTTTTACAAAATATGTTTTCTGTAACATTTAAAGATTCAAGTGGAATTGTACTTTTTTGGTGTGGATTTGAACACTTTTTCTTACAGTTACAGAAGGAGCATTGTGCCTAGCATATGGACACTGGAAAATGCAACTGACTAAGTAGGAGCAAAATTGACTAGATTTCTTTTTATTATGAATATCTCATTGATACATTAGAACTAGATAGCATAGGTGGTGAAAAATAAACTAGTTTCAGTAGCCTTAAAGGGCTGGTAACACAAGATACTTTTTTAACAGGACAGTGTCCCTTCCTGTAAATCTTGTCTCCTTCCACCGTTCTAAGTCTTACTTTCCCTGACATCTAATATCACATTTTTGCCTTAGTTTGGCAGTGATAGTTAGCTAAACTTCTCTATACGTCAGCCCAGCTGTTATTCCTAAGTGCCACAGACCCCTGTAAATTTTGCATTCCATCTTTGTTCTTGGGCTTTGATCGTTCCATTTTAGATTGTATTTGTGATTTCTCAAGCTTTGGATGCTGTCTGTTTCTCAAGAGCTTTATGGTGTGACTGGACAAAAGTCTGTATCCCAAACCACTGAGACTTGGACTCCTTCCCTCACCGGAATGGGCCCTTCACATGCTCTTTTCTGATTCCCAGAAATAATAGGTGGAGGGAGCATACTGATGTCTCAGGTTTTTTTCTGCACCAAGGCCTCATCCAATGATAAAAACTCCAGTGCTCCATGTGATTCCTGCTGCTTGTGGCCACAGGTGGTGGGTTTAAGCCCCACAACATCACCAGTCAACCAGTGGGTTTTGAGCTGTCCCCCTGAATTATTGGTTGGAACTCTGATGCTATATATGTGTCCACCCTACCAAGATGGATTCTCACTGAAAAAGTGTAGATGGAATGGAAGTAAGTTTTCATTTACCTAATTAAAAAAATATATATATGGAGATATACCTATCTCATACAACTGGAGGGGACCTTGAAAGATTATTGAGTCCAGTCCTCTGCCTTCACTAGCAGGACCAAGTACTGTCCCTGACAGATTTTCCCTCCCCCTCAATGGCCCCTTCAAGGATTGAGCTCACAACTCTGGGTTTAGCAGGCCAATGCTCAAAACACTGAGCTATCCCTTCCTTCTCCCTGAGCCAGGGTTGAACCCAGAAGAGTCTCCAGCCTCTGCCTTCAACCAGGAAGTGGAATTAGGGACTGAGAAATTAGGATAGTGATTTAAAAAACCTAAACTCTTAATTAAAGTGAAAGTTTAAAAACAGGTTTAGGGTAGGAGCTCCTACACCCCAAAGATCTAACTAGGTTTAATTAAGAAGACATTAAAGTGAAATTAAACTGATAACCTGAGATTAAGGTTATATGGGTAAACAACAACTTCACTGACCATCCTAATGTATGTTCCAGGCTATGACTTCCCTGTTGTTTTGAGGTCCTGCTGAGCCATTTGTTTTTTCAAACTTGGTCTTTGTCAGAACATATTATGTACATGAGGCGAGTCAGAGGATGGAAACAGAAAATGCTGTCTGTGTTTTAGTTACCAAACTACCATTTCTGATGGGGGCATAATTCCTCTGCATAAGCAGGCCAGGAAGCCACTCTGGTTGCAAAACTTTGAGATGATTTTCTAGTTGTGACACAGTCTTGGGAAAGTTTGCTTTAGTTTGAAGTTTAGGTCATTCTAAACCCCATCTCTGGTTCCTACTTTCGGGGTAAATTACTGGTGTCGCAAATAATGTAGCCATCAATTTTATAGTCACATTATAGTAAGAGCAGTAGCAACTGCTATAGTGGCTATAGTCAAGGCTACACAAACATTTCTGTTCCATCTGAAATCTATCAGGCTAAAACTCTCCATACTTCCATCTTTTCTTAAGGTGAATGTCTTTGAAAGTTTGGGCAAAAACAGTTCAGCTGATGAATAGAATAGAAAAGGGCCACGGATACACTTTTCCAATTAAAAAAAAATGCAATGCAGCCCAGCTAGTGAGGAGTGGCAGAGAAAAAATTAGAATTTAGCATGGAAATAGCCTTTGATTGTTCTGGTAAAAACTGATTTTGAATTCACCGAATCATGACCTGTTGAAAATCATACTTCAAACAGGGATGATACATTTTAAATGGTGGATTTCTTGCTAAAGTCATAATAAAAATTCCAAGGAACCAAAATCTTCTGGGGGGGAAAAGTAGTATTCGTAGAGGACCACAAAAATCTCAGATTATAGGTTAGATGTAGCATAAAACTCTTAGGGCCATTAAGAAAAGAAGACAAACGCCATCCTCTGTAAAACTGACAAAATGCTTTAAGTCAAGGATGCTACTCATCTAAGGTACGCTGCAGCAGAGTTACCTTCTAAGTGAGAGGCGCTTCCATCCTGTTGACCATAGGAGGTCTGCAGGACAACTGCATCAATCCATTGTAAAGTTCCCCTAACCCTAACTCACATTCACCTTTGGAATACAGCTACGGTAGAACCTCAGAGTTACAAACACCAGAGTTACGAACTGATCAGTCAACCACACACCTCATTTGGAACCAGAGGTATGCAATCAGGCAGCAGCGGGCGGGGGGAGGGAGAGAGAGAAAGTAAATACAGTGCAGTAGTTTATTACATGCTAAAAATATAAAGGGAAAGTTTAAAAAAAGATTTGACAAGGTAAGGAAACTGTTTCTGTGCTTGTTTCATTTAAATTCAGATAGTTAAAAGCAGCATTTTTCTTCTGCATACTAAGTTGCAAAGCTGTATTAAGTCAATGTTCAGTTGTAAACCTTTGAAAGAACCACCATAATGTTTTGTTCACAGTTATGAACATTTCAGAGTTACGAACAAAACCTCCATTCGTAAACTTTTTGTAACTCTGACGTTCTAGTGTAAATAGCTATGCCAGCAGGTTCACTACAACTTTCTTTAATACTGCACATTTCCCTGTTCAGCCTAGGGGAAAAGTTATTTGCTTTGTGGTTTTTATACAGCTCGCTTTCACTCTTTATGGAATGATTTTTTTTTTCAATGTAATCTCTTTTTTTAAATAGTGAGTGACGGGTTGGAATTGAGACCAAAATACAATGGTATTCTACACTGTTTGACCACTGTTTGGAAGCATGAAGGACTACGTGGCCTGTACAAAGGGGTAACTCCAAACATTTGGGGTGCAGGTGCCTCCTGGGGACTCTACTTTTTCTTGTAAGTGGATCTGTAGAATATTAATATTCTATGCAAAGTGATCCTTGAATGTAGGTTGCACTTTGATTTTGGGGAGATGGTGAGGGTGCATAAATATAAATGTTTCCCTTTGTCATCACTTGCTATTTTAAGTCTTATTTAGACTGTAAGCAGTTTAGGACAGGGACCTGTACATTTTGTAAAATATAGTGCATACCTAGGAGGGTAGCGTGGCCTAGTAAATAGAGTACTGGATTGGAACCAGGGTGGATTGATTTAAATCAGTTTTAATCATCCTTTAACCAACTGTATTCATGATTTATTTTACAAGCAGGAGACTCGGATTTAATGTAATCATTTTTAATGTTGTCTTGCGTTTGTACTTTAGTTATTTTCCTAAAGAAAGGTTCATTCTCATTGGTTGGTATAACCATTCAAAAATGTTGATTTACAACTAGATAAACCTTGACATGAAATGGGGTAGTTTTTGCTAACCAGGAGAATGCACTATGTCTGTACACTTACTTAAGCAATTATTTACTGTAAAACACATTCAGAGTCTTGGGTTTCTTAGATTTTTATTAGAAAATTGTGAATTATGCATTTTCTTTATTAGATTATTCATTTTTATATGCATCTTTTCTAAGTATTTGAATGGAAATTGAAATTCAAGTAAAAGTACACAAAAACAGCATTTTAAAATAGTTTTTATTAGTTAAATAAAACTACCTTAAATGTACTGGATACACAAGAAAAATATGATCAAAACATGTTTTAAAACTTATTGCTTTATTAAGGAAATACTGTCTGTAATTAGTGAATTGACACGATTATTTCTGGTCACCATGTCCTTCAAGATTTTAGAACTAGTAGATCTTATCCTCACACCCCATTTTTATTCATGGATTGGAAGAGGGGAAACAAGTTTTCCTGGGGTTTTTTGTTTTTTGTTTTTCAACTTCCAATCAGATTCTTAACTTTGACTGAACTAGTCATTGAACTATTTGAATAGACTAAAATGAAAAATATTGTCTCTGCACCTGAAGAAGAGGGTACTGCTGTCAATAGCTGGTTTATCACTTCAACAAACTCTGGTTCCAGGTGCTTAGCCAGTGACTTTGACCAGATCATTGGTTCGATTTTCTTTAAAATTTTGTCAGCAAACATAGAAAACATAGCAGTGTAGGTCTAGAAGGGTCCTCAAGATCATGTAGTCCATCCCTCCACACTGAGGCAGGAGCAAGTATATCTAGACTATGCCTAATAGTTGTTTGTCTAACCTGTTCTTAAAATCTTTCCATGACAGGGATTCCATAAATTCCCGTAGTAACCTATTCTAATATTTAATTTCCTTATAGTTAGGAAGTTTTTCTTAATTCCTAACATCTAACCTAAATCTCCCTTGCTATAGCTTAAGCTGATTACTACTTGTCCTACCGTCAGTGAATATGGAGAACAATTGATCACTGTTCTCTTTATAATTGCGCTTAACATTATTTGAAAACTGTTACTGTATCGTGCCCTTTAAGGCGGGAGCCGGGTGACCACCCTGCTACAGGAGTGAACTGTGAAGCGGCAAAGTTTGCTGATGATACAAAATTATTCAAGATAGTTCAGTCTAAAGCAGACTTTGAGGAGTTACAGAGGAATCTCTGTACTCAGTACAAAACTGGATAACAAAATGGCAAATTAAGTAAGATCTTGGAGTAACCATGGATAGTTCTCTGAAAACTTCCACTCCATGCGCAGTAGCAATCTAAAAGTCTCTCCGTATGTTAGGAACTATTAGGAAGGGGATAGAAAATAAGGCAGAAGATATAATACCATTTTATAAATCCGTGATGTGCCCACACCTGGGAGACTGTGTCTAGTTCTGTTTGCCTCCTCTCAAAAAGGATATAGTGGAACTGGAAAAGGTTCAGAGAAGAACAACAAAGATAATCAGGGGTATGGAATGGCTTCCATATGAGGAAAGACCAAACAGATCGGGGCTGTCCAGCTTGGAAAGGAGACTTCTAAGGAGGGATATGAAAGTGGTCTATAAAATCATGAATGGTGTGGGGAAAGTGAATAGAAAAATGAAACCCTTTCACACTATCCAAAAACCAGGGGTCACCTATGAAATTGATAAACAACAGGTTTAATACAAATGAGGAAGTACTTTTCACACAATGTGCAATTAATCTGTGGAATGTATTGCCATGGGATGTTGTGATAGCCAAAAGTATAACTGGGTTCAAAAAAGAACTGGATTGGTTCATGGAGAATTGGTCCATCAGTGACTGTTAACCAAGATGGTCAGGGATGAAACGCCATGCTCGGGGTAACCCTTAACCTGTGACCATCAGAAACCGAGAGTGGAGAACAGGATGGAGTGGTTTCAGAGTAGCAGCCATGTTAGTCTGTATCCGCAAAAAGAACAGGAGTACTTGTGGCACTTTAGAGACTAACAAATTTATTTGAGTATAAGCTTTCGTGGGCTACAGCCCACTTCTTCGGATGCATAGAATGGAACATATATTGAGGAGATATATATATCTCCACAATATTATATATACACATACAGAGAGCATGAAAAGGTGGGAGTTGTCTTACCAACTCTGAGAGGCCAATTAAGTAAGAGGGAAAAAATTTTTTGAAGTAATAATCAAGATAGCTCAGTACAGACAGTTTGATAAGAAGTGTGAGAATACTTACATGGGGAGATAGGCTCAATGTTTGTAATGGCTCAGCCATTCCCAGTCTCTGTTCAAGCCTAAGTTGATTGTATCTAGTTTGCATATCAATTCAAGCTCAGCAGTTTCTCGTTGGAGTCTGTTTTTGAAGCTTTTCTGTTGCAAAATTGCCACCCGCAGGTCTGTCATTGAATGACCAGACAGGTTAAAGTGTTCTCCTGCTGGTTTTTGAATGTTATGATTCCTGATGTCAGATTTGTGTCCATTAATTCTTTTGCGTAGAGACTGTCCGGTTTGGCCAATGTATCTGACATCAGGAATCTGCTGAGCTTGAATTGATATGCAAACTAGATACAATCAACTTAGGCTTGAACAGAGACTGGGAATGGCTGAGCCATTACAAACATTGAGCCTATCTCCCCATGTAAGTATTCTCACACTTCTTATCAAACTGTCTGTACTGGGCTATCTTGATTATTACTTCAAAAGTTTTTTTTCCTCTGACTTAATTGGCCTCTCAGAATTGGTAAGACAACTCCCACCTTTTCATGCTCTCTGTATGTGTATATATTTATCTCCTCAATATATGTTCCATTCTATGCAT